TAATTGCTAACAATGTTGTTCTGAAATAAGAGTCCTGTTTACTTATTTTGAATAATTGAGTTTTAAATTCTGTTTTAGTTAGTAATATCATTTATTTAATCTATATGTACCTTACAAATATTTATGGTGTTCCTACTACATGTCTGCTACTTTACAAGGTCTCTTCTCTCAGAGACCGTATAATTCAGTTTAAGAAAGGAGGTCAAATTATACAAAATAATTAATACAGGAAAGTCTTTAAGAAAGTGAGTTCTAGCCCTGGTGGGTGTGGCTCAGTTGCCTGAGTGTTGTCCCATGCACCAAAGGGTGGCCGATTTGATTCCACGTCAGGGCCCATGCCTGGCTTGTGGGCTGGATCCCTAGTAGGGGGCTGCAGGAGGCACTCAACTGATGTTTCTCTCTCTCTAAATCAATAAAAACATATTTTTTTTAAAAGAATTTCTCTTAAATAGGTTAAACAGCATCTGGATTCCTAGTTATGCTACATATTTGCTAGAAAATTACTTCTTTGAGATGAATAAATGCTAGAGTCCAAGTTCAATTGAATGATAGAAGTTAGTAGCTCCCTTCTCTAGGCTTTCCCAGCATTTTCTTCAAATATCAAGTGTAATTGTTTTGTAATCTATGAAATTTCAAGTTGATTTCTTGCTGTGATCTCCTTAAGGCTCCTTAAACTATCCTCATGTTCAGGGCTAAGTACAATGACTGGCCTATAGGAGATCTTTAGTAAAGACTAAAGAAAGCAAAAACTTATTTTATGAATACTTTATTTGCCCCCCCTCCTCCTTATTTCATATACAAATGGTACATTAAAGCCTGAATTAGGAAGTCTAGAAATGGTGGGAATTGGATCAAGGCACTTAAGCTCTGTTTCTCATATCCTCATTTGCTATTTCCAGATCCACAATTCTGTAAACCGTTCCAGTAATTGCAACTTGGCAGACAGTTATTTTTCACCTTCTCTAAGTAACCACTTATTTATTTGCTCGATTTGCATGCATAGTCTAGCTAGTGCTTCTCATATGACCATGATCCTGATATTGAGAACAGCTTACTTCCTTTATCATTTTTCAGGAGAACAAAGAAAGATTATGTCTAAATTTCAATGTCTGCAACAATTTTTTAAATGACATCCTAGACTCCCTCATGAGAATAGATACAATTTGCCAGGACTCCAAAATTTGCATGAAGCCCTAAAATACTTTAAATCCGCTTTGCCTGCTGAACAGGAGAATCCCAAGAAGACAAACAGATTCTAAGTGCATTCCTGGGCCTTTATAATTTCAAATTTTAGAGAATTCACACTATGAGGACCTTATAATAGTTTGTCTCTTCCTGTGTTTGGATTTTTCATGTGCAAGGTTCCATAGTGGACTCAAGTTAAAATCCCCTTAGATTTCTAAGAATCACTTCTATCTCTGATACTTACAGGATGGGACAAAAGGAAGTTTACAGTTGTAAGTACATGAGAACACAGAATTCTTTTATCATTTTTATTAATTATTTTTTTATTTTCTATATGAACAAATGTAAACCTACTTTTGCCCAACCCTGTACTGTACAGTGAAGAAATTCAAGAGCTTCTGGTGAGCAGTGAGGGGGCTGGCTCACCATATAAGGTTCAATGACACACTGAATGATGACAAAAGGAAAGCATTCAGTGTGTATCAAAAACCACAAATTCACTGAGGCCACCCAGCTTGTATTATCATATGATGATATGTGTGGCTATACTGTATATAAACACCACGATATTAGAAAAAATATAGACCAAGGAAATTTGGCACAAATAGAAATCATATTTTCCTGATTTCAATTCACTATTATTGAAAACACATAAGCAGTGGACCCAAGATCTGCATTAAGTGAAATAAACCCTTGATATCTCCTACTAACTTACGGTAAGAAGTCTGAAAAAATCTACAACTCACTTTGTCTGGGTAGAAATTCATTTTGGCTGACTTTCTGGTTACAATTACAGTAGACTTATAGTATTTTCCTAGGCTTTTCGAGGAGGAAAGAGCATAGTATTAATTTGCATACAAACAGAGAACTATAGAAGAACACATTTTTGTGCAATGAAACAATGTTTTTACACCTTTTTGTAATGGGATTCCACTATGATTTTTTCATTGAATCCAGTAGTGAATACTTTTGGTACATAGCTAATTAACCCTCTTGAATAAGTCTGACTTCAACTCCTATCTAAGATTTCTAGTTATAGAGCTTTTAAAATTAATGCTGAATTTCTTCAGCTCAGTTATTGCTATTCTCACAATTGCCATTGGAAACTCTTCTGAAAGTTATTCATTCATGTGACCTTCATTGCACTCAACCCCCATCAGGCACTGCATTTTTTCCAGGCACTTGAGATATAGCAGTGAACAGTGACACTTCCCATTTTAATGTTGGCCAACAGTTAAGAAATGTAAGGTTTTAGTCCATCAATTATCTGTCCAGAGCTTTAGATAAAGTCAAGTAAAGCCAAGTCAATGAGTTCATTATAAACACATGTTCTACAGCAAGTCCCCAAGATTATACCAGTTAAAAGTTCTGACAGATCTGGGGGAAGATGTGGCCAGTATTGCTGTCACTCTGCTCAAGGCTGTTTCACTGTTTTGCAGAAACTGTCAGGAACATAGCACATCTGAGAAAGAATCCAGAACTTCCATACCTTGGGAAAACTTGAAACCTATATTACCTCTGCTCATAAACCCTGTAGACTGCAACCCCGGGATCTCTAATGCTGTAGAACAAATGAAGCAAAAAGTGGTACATCACATTCCCTTTTTTAAAAACGATAATAAAGTGGGACAGATTTTACCACTGGAGGGCAAAGACATTGACGTATTCTTGATTATTCACAGACAAAGTATAAAATTTATATTACATAGAGCTAAGAAGTCATTTTCAAACTTGTAAGCAAAAATTCATTTTACATTCTAGTACATCAAAGACAGTTTTATTTAATTCCAATCAAGTACATACATAAAATCCTTCTTTGAAATATCTATGTCAAGAAATTCTGCAAGCTCGGGAGTACATTCCTTCCTCATGAGATCATATCTAGAAGTCCAACACCTCCAACCTCCAACCGGAAAAGACAACAGGGTATAGAGTGGGGTCTGTAAGCCTTTTCTGTAAAAGCTCAGAGTGTAACTAATTTAGGCTTTGCAGGCGGTATGGTCTGTGTCACATTTGCTCAACTCTGCCTTTGTAGAGCGAAGGCAGCAATAGACAATGTTAGTAAATAAGCGCGTCTGTGTTCCAGTGAAACTTCATTTATAAAACTAGGCAGCTGGCCCGATGTGGCTCCCAGGCCATAGTTGGCCTGATCTAGGTGGTCTGTATTCTGAGGAAGGGCAGAGTTTCTCATATTTACTTGGGTTCTCACTTCTATTTTACTCCCTGTTACATATGGGAATAAACATAAGCCTGAACCCTAAATAGTGAAAGACATAATGTTTCACTTATCATTAGATATCATTTATAATAAAGATTTCCTGGCGAAGGATATCCTCAGTAACCCAGTGTTTGCCTATTTAAATGCTATTTAATTCTACACTGATAAACTTTTGGTCATTTTTCTATATTGTAGATCATTAGCCCTCGCCCTATAGTATAGTGGATGCAAGTTACATTTTTCTTATTGCCTTTTTTTTTTAATATATCTTTATTGATTTCAGAGAGAGGAAAGGGGAGGGAGAGAGAGAGAGAAACATCAATGATGAGAGAGTCATTGATCGAGCCCGCAGCCCGGGCATGTGCCCTGACTGGGGATCGAACCCCGATTGCCTGGATCCTAGGCCGACCCTCAACCACTGAGCCACACCCGGCCGGGCTCTTATTGCTTTTGCTAGAGATATTCTCAGGGGTACTTGAGCTATCTGGGGCTACCCTCCCTCAGTTGGCCTCAGTCTATAGTGATATTGCCAATACCACCCTATTTTATATCAGCTGTCAAAGTCACGCGTCTGTGTCAAGTAACACCTTTTCTTATGTCCATGCTTCCTCCCACCATGGCCCCATGCATGAAGTCTGCTTTGTACTCAAGAACTGAATTCTGTTTGAGATACCCAGATAACCTAGTTTCTGGAATCACATAATTCACCACAAACCCAATATTAAGTCCTTGAACCTTTGAAGGAGGGCTGTATTTCTCTTCTGGGGGCATAAACTTCACAAACGCTATTTCCACAATACTCAAAAGCTTGGTTGCTTGCTTTTTGTGTGTCGGCTAGGTTCCAAAACACTGAGGTTGGGGAAAGTCTGATTAACAGGTAAATGAGGAGTTTTCCTAAAGTATTAACACCTCTTTATTTTCTAACTTCTTTATTTTGAAAAATGAATAAGAGATTTTTTTTCTTTACCTATTTTGCTACTTAAAATTTACTTTTCTCCATACCCTGCTTATGTCTGACAAACTTTGTCTAGGACACTTTTGCACAACTGAGGACTCCATAAGAATCATGTAAGGAAGCAGATGAAAAATTCCCAACCCTAGGTCCCACCCTGTAGAGTTTTCTAGTCATTTGGTTGGGGATACAGAGAACAAGGATCAGTCATTTTTGGTTTGGTTTTGTTTCACTGTAAAATTCCCAGATGATTCTCAAATTAACCAAGGCCTCAGAACCACTGGGTCTCTATGTCCGATTTCTTTTAGGGTCTATATAAAGTATTCAATATGAAGTGGTTTACCCTGAAATACTCTCCTTTCTATTTTGTGGCATAGAAACTTAATACAATAAATGTGGAGTTACCCAAAAACTTCAACTTTCTCCTGTTGAAAATTGCCCTGCAAGTTTAATTCCAAGTGGCTGGATTTCAAAACATATAGTTTTATTTTTGGATTATTTCACCATGTGGAACATGTAGTAAGGTTACACTATCGGTGTTGAGATCTCTTATTCTCTTGTTTCAGGTTGACTATTGTGTCTTAAGTGACGATTTTTGATAACTGTGAAGCCATGGGAATGTTATTGTCTTTCTCTTGTTCATAGCGCCAGAAGAATGGACCACAGCCCGCTCCAGCCTGAAGGCCCCACCGCCAAGGTCAGCCAGAGGGGGATACAGGGAGCACCCCTATGGTAGATATTGAAGGTCCTCCTCACCTGTGACCTCACCTCAAAGACAATTCATAGCCTCTGGTCTCCACATAACAGCAACAAGACAAGTAATAGTCCTTTTTTTTTCCTATTCTAGGGATAACTTCTCATGATTACTCCCATATATTTCTTGTATTTCCCCTACACTGTTGGCGTGACATTGACACTAGTATTATTTTACAAAACAGACTGAAAGGGACATTGGCGAGCATTGTCTAGAAACCATTTAGCAGGTTGATATTCTCTTGGTTGTTTTTCATTGTTGTGTGTAAACTTTTTTTTTCTTTTTTCTTTCTTTTTTTCTTTCTTCCTTTTTTATTTTTTTTAAAGAAAGAGCATGAATCTGTTGACAGATTTTGAGTCTCAATCAACTAGCAAAAACTTTGTTTAGGGTTGCTAAAAGACTGTAATATGATTTTTGAACTAGCTGATAATAAAGTTGTAGATAAGATGTTTTAACCTGTCTTTTAATATGTTAGTTAGATGAAGACGTTCGATATTAAGTTTGTAAATTTAATTTTAAATGCTGTTTTAATGGGGTTGAAAACAAGCAGCTACTGTATGTATGTAGCTAACTGAATTTGTTCAGTGTTTTAACCTGTATTTGTTAAAAAAGAAAAAAAACACACATAAAGTTCCATGTGTAAGCTTCTCTAAATAGGAAACCACAATTTGTCAAATATGTTTGCCATAATTTGTCAATAAAGCTGAAAACTTTTGTAAAAACTAAATTTGGAATTACTTGTTTTCTAGCTTTAAATGTCTGCTTTATTTCTTCTTCAAGAGATGCCTAAAATGTTTTCTATTTAAAAATTACAAAAATGAACCCAAGCCTGTTTTAAGATATTTGTGTAATACTTAAAAAAATGTATTAATAACTTATGGTTGTTAAATAATTTAAAAGTTAACAAACTAAACTGTTACATGAATCATGGTTAGTAAACACTAATGTATAACATGTTAATGGAAAAAAATGGATTTAGAATAATAAATGGATTTTAAACTATCCTCTAAGCTTTATCTTGCTAAACACAAATTCTGATTGACTTGTTTGCATTAGCATGTCTCTCGTGAGAAAGAGTAATGGAGTATAAAGAGGTAAGATTACCACTTACCACTGTCTAAATGCCTAGTTCTTCAACCTTTGAGTTTCCCCGCACATTAAATATCCCATCCAACATGTAAGCATTGCGTAGATTCACTTTATTGTTTTCACTCAAAGGAGTGCGTGGACTTCATTTGCGTAGTTTATAACAATTTGTTTTGACAAACAAATCATCAGTGTCACTGGCCAGTTGTTGCTATTCAACCTCAAAAACTCTATTTGTAATTTTCAGTGCTAAATATCACCGCCCTTGAAGGCAGTTTAGAGGGCTGATATTTCTTTTGAGACTATCAGACTTGATGGCTGATGATTATTAAGGAAATATGTCGCAGGACTCAAAGGATGACTAAACGTTAAACAGGTAACACTAATAGTAACTCTGTAATTTTGCCTATGCAACAGTAATGTTAAATATTCTCAGTTATTAAGTTCCTGATAGTTAAAAAAGTAAACCTACAAAAACATAACAAATAGGTCTATAGGTTATTAAAACAACTAATTAACATTAACTAGAGGCACCAAAATTATTTTACAATATATAACCCTCAAGGTAATAAACAGAACTAAAATTAATAATAATAGTAATGCAACTCTTGCTAACATCAAACGTAAGCTAAATTTTGATGGAAAAAAAAAAAAGAAAGTGAAAGACTTGATGGTAGGGATGAATGCCAAAACTGTTAATCTTTTAAATACAGTTTTTTTGTTTATGGTGGCTTTTGTCGATGTGATTGGTTTACTTTTTTGCTGCTAACCAGTTTAGGCTATATTGCTGTTCAGTTTTTGCAGCTGGAGTTGCATGCTAATAGTTTTATGAAGTGTGTCTGTCATCAATTAAAATTGTAAATATTTGCCTTTCACAAAATGCTATTGAGATATATTTAATTTTCTTTTCTTATTCTTTCTCACTATTTCAGGTCCCCACAAGCAAAGAGCACATAATTGAATAACAGAAGTGATGGGCTAAGGAAGGTAGAGGTGAGCTTATTTTTTATCTTCTCTGAAATAGATAATCTTTACCAACATGAAGCTAGGGCATGGAACTACAACGCCAAATGCCACTTGTTGAAAAACTGAAAAGGTTTAGATTGTTGTCAAAGAACTGAGTTATTTATCTTCTTTGAAATGAAATTATATAACTTGGTATTTGCCTGGCAAGACTTTCTGAGTTGATCCAGAAGCTTTTCAAATGAAATGTGAATTAGTAGTTAATATTCATCCCTTTCTTCGCCATGAACTACAACATACTACCTCCCCTTAACTTTACAAATAAAGAATGCTAAAACTTTTACTCTTCAGATATAAGAGAAGGAAATCACAATTACTGGCTGAGGTGGAGGGACGGGAAAGGGGACCTTATAACCAACCCCTCATCTACCCCTTGTCAATGAGATAAAATTTATTAACACTAACATTTATTTAGTCAAATAAAATAACTAAACTTACCATTATTTTCCCCATTTATCCCACTGGATTTATCAATAAACTTATTTCTCATCTGCCATTCTATTTGATTCAATAAATATTTACTGAGTACAAAGCACTATTGGAAATTGAGACTAGATTTCTATTCACAAGGAGTTGGAAACTTTAGCCAATAAACCTCCACTGAAAACAGTGCAAAGGCAGTTATGAAGTCCAGGTACTGATCTGACATTCAGAGAACTGAGGTGGCCTTGCCATGAAATTTGAAACAGGGTAAACCCCAAGTGCTTCTTCTCTGGGTTTGGTCCTCTTTTTACTACACAAATATTCAAACACCCACAGCACAGTGTAGCCTTAAATAAGTGCCACAGAAGAGATATGAGAGAGCCTAGGGACTCACTGTGACAGAAGGTAGGGCAGAGACAGGAACCAAGGAATGAAAGGGAAAGGCTGCTCACTGATGCGGGAGAGAGCGCCGCCTGCTGAAAGGAGTAGATTGTGTCAGTTGTGAGCTCCAAAAAGGTCAGGGAATGAGAGACCCCGAGGACCAGATTCAAGGAGGCAGAGTGAAAGCAAAGCCTGGAGAGGTGGGGTCCAGTCAGGTCATGGCTGTCCCTGAGCACTGTGTTAAATTGTTCGGATTTCATTGGAAAAATAAAAGGAAGCTGATGTAGGTTTGAAATAAAAAATCAGAGGTATACCTCTAAGGAAATTATCCCAAGTGACCAAGCAAACCTCACATTTAGTCAATTTTATAATTACTAATACCTCTTCATCTGAGAAAGCTTTTCAAAAATTCAAATTGTTAAAATAACTATTTAATACTATATGTGATTCAATTAATCAAGTGCCTTTGTTAAGCTGCAGAATTGAAAGTTAAAAGTTACAGAAAATGAAGTTTTGAAATTTTATTTTTATTTATTTTATTTTTTTTATTCAAAATATTACAGATGTCCCCTTTTCTCCCCATTGACCTCTTCCATCCTGCACCCACCCTCCTCCCCAGTCCCTCTCCACAGCATTGTCTGTGTCCTTGGGTTACACATACATGCATACAAATTCTTTAGTTAATCTCTCCCACCCACCCCCACCTTCCCTCTGAGATTCGTCAGTCTGTTCCATGCCTCCATGTCACTGAATCTATTTGGTTCATCAGTTTATCATGTTCTTTAGATTCCATATATAAGTGAGACCATGTGATGTTTGTCTTTCTCTGGCTTATTTCACTTAGCATAATATTCTCCAGGTCTTTCCATACTGTCTCAGAGGGTATGAGATTATTCTTCTTTACAGCTGCATAGTATTCCATGGTGTAAATGTCCCACAGCTTTTTATCCACTCATCTACTGAGGGGCACTTGGGCTGTTTCCAGATCTTAGCTATTGTAAATTGTGGTGTTATGAACATAGGGGTGCATAAGTTCTTTCTGATTAGTGTTTCAGGATTCGTAGGATACATTCCTAGAAGTGGGATCACTGGGTCAAAAGGCAGTTCCATTCTTTAATTTTTTAAGGAACCTCCACAGTGGCTGCACCCGTCTGCAGTCCCACCAGCAGTGGACCAGGGCTCCCCTTTCTCCACACCCTCTCCAACACTTGTCATTTGTTGACTTGTTGATGGAGCCATTCTGCCAGGTGTGAAGCGATACCTCATTGTGGTTTTCATTGGCATCTCTCTGATGATTAGCATTTTCTCATATGTCTCTTGGCCATCTGTGAAATTTAATCAGTAACATTCCATATCTGACTTAACGCTTTAAAAGTGTTGCTGTTTCCTAAACCCAGGGCATAAAGAGTCTCTCGTCCAAGTGTCTCGATCTTGCAAAGCAACGAAAGAGAAACCAGTCAGAGCTTGTTGCTGTTTTGATATGTTAATCAATATGTTTTTGTGTTCATTGTAGTTATTTTGTTGTTTTGATTGTTGTATTATAACCCTGTGGCTCACTCACCATTCAGACTCAGGGCAGGGCTATCACAGCAGAAACACCAGAGCTGAATAGAAGAGAACATTCTTGCTGTTGAGTTTTAGGGGCTTGTAAAGCTCAAAAACAGTGATTTGTGAGAAAGGGGATTTTGAGTTTCAAAAGCATGCATTTTTAGTAGGCTTTAAGTAGGACGTAAAGTTTGTGTTCACTGTAGATGTAAAAGACTCCTATCAATCAATAAATAAATGACTCCCACCCACCTGCCTCCGTACCTCTACAATATAAATATTGTCCAATCTGAAAAGAAAGCTCAAGAGGCAGCAATAAGGTATTAGTTTAAGATATTAGCGTGGCCTCAAGTATGAGTCCTGTACACTATGTCAGTTATCCAATAAAACCCGAGATAGTTTTGCAACACAAAGGGAACTTTTGTCTAAAGAGACTGGGGAGGCAGGAAGCTCCACAGAGTTTCCCCACATCAGTGTGTTCCAGGTGCAATCCTGTAGACGAATGTTTCTATAGAGTGTTTTTCCATGCTGGCAAGAGTGAATGAAGCAAGTGTGGCAGAAAGAGCCACACGCACAGTCACTTCTGCAGCAAGGCAGGGAGGGCCCAGGGACCTCTGCACGGCCATAGGCCAGCCTGGATCCGGGTATATCAGTGGATACCACGTGAGAAGGCAAGGAGGTCAGCAGCTCCCTGCCACCAACACCTCCAAAACTTAAATGCAATCAGAAAAAAGAGAGGGAGAACATAAATCTCTGAGTTAACAGAACTCCTGACCAAAATTCATCTGAACTGGCTGAGATTATCTTTCTCAACCTGGCAGTATGGGAACTTGAGAATAAAATCAAGTTGAGGTAAAGAAAACTATAATTATATGTGCACTGTAGTCATTTATTGCATAACCTGTCTGACTCTTAAAATAATCAGAAGTGAATACAGTAGGTTTCTCTGGCAACAGGGAATGAGAATTTCCCTAAATTAGGGGCCTGGCAGCAAGCACCATGGATAGAGTCAAAGCTGTTGAGAGTGGCCCTCGCTGATGAGCGTCCGCCGGTCAGGGGGCGCCTTCTTCTCTTCTCAGCGTCAGACAGTGATGGGGGTCCCACTTGGATCCCTTCATGACATCGCGTCTGCTCTCACTAATTTCCAAGTGCTGGCTCCCAAAGGTGGCAGAGCAGGTACCTTCCCAGTTCCGGAGCCACTGCCCATATAAACATTCACCTTGTGCAAGTCAGGTAAACTTGCATGGCTAATTAAAGTTTTTAAATTACAGTACGTGCCATCTAAGCGTAGAAGTTATCTGCGGCATGCTCCATACATTCTGTCGGGCAATGCTGTAGCTCTTGCTGCACTGACGATTGTGTAACAGCCAGGCACGCTCCAAAGGTAGCCAGCTTGGGAACCAAACAGAGTATTTTAAATAGCAATAATAACATTAATTTATATCAGTGCCACAAACAGTTTTACTATACTTGAGATTAAGTCAGAATCAATGATGCCAATTAAGAGACCAAATAATGCATTTAGGTCTTATTTATAATATCTAGATAATTTTTACTTTTTAGTATGTTAATGGGACTAAGGCTATTTAGCTTAATAACAATTGAAGTACTAACAATTTTTAAATAAGTTTAGATCAGAATGACATAGTGAAGGTTCTCATTAATTCTTTTAAAAGAAATTGCTTTTTGAACTCTATTATTAAAATGTTACTTTTATTCCTTTAGTTCCTCACTGTTTCTATATCTCTCGGTTAATGTAATATTGAAGCTTATAGGGGTTTTTGTTAGTTGTTGTGCTTTTAAAGGGAATAGAGAACAGTGGCCAGGACTCTGAATTGGCTAAATATCAAGTATCAGTTTCCATATCAAATGGATGGCTGTTACTAAAAATTCCATCTGTTTGACACTCTTGCAGGTTCCATAGGAAGGTTTGCTTTTCACTGCAAAAATATATGTAGTAAATGATTGCAAACACCCAACTGTATGTTAATTTACAAAATTGATGACATGATTTATGTTTGGATGAGGGCAGAGTTTCAATAATGGTAACAATAATAATCCTGGGGCCATCTGTTTCATGAACATACATGCCTGGCAAGGTACTAGAATTTGCACATAAAAACTTACATGAAACATCTGTAATCTTACAGCAAGCTTGCAAAGGAAATAAAATTAACCCCATTTTATAGAAGACATTGAAATTCAGAGGTTTAACTAATGTCACATATTCTATATATAGAAAACCAATTTTTAAAACAGTTTGAAAACCCACGCATTTTCCAGAATTCTATGGTGATTCCTAACTTTTTATGAATTTGATTGAAAAAAGAATCTAAAATATCAAATAGTCTTAACATTATTTCTCTTCTGTAGCAATATGATGAATAGTGACTAAAAAAATTACAAAATATTTTAACTTGAAGTGTACCTTTGTGTTGACTTTTCCTCAAATTTGTCATTCTTTAAAAGTTCTGATTTCATCAAAGAAAAATGTAGATGAAAGTGTCCTACATTTGTCATATAGCATGACTACAGTTTTGTAGAACAAATGAATTCATTTATAATCTAAATTCTGTTTTGACATTAAAAAACTCACAGTTAAATAAGCATGAAAGCAATTT